AAATAAGATAAATGAGTCAAGTTCTTCAGTTAATGAAATGACTATTGATTCTAAATCACTTTCTCATGAGTTAGTTGTTCCTTAATTGGTTTCTTAAACTTATGTCAAATAGCGTTTGAATTTTATATTTTTAACCTTACTACCACTCTCATTAACATCTTATCAAAAATAAAATTTATTAACAAGGCAATCTCAACAAGATAACTTTCATTGAAACATCTAATGCATTGCAAAGATAAATAGAATATCTAGTTTTTTTAGTTAAATTATCAAATTAAAATACTTTAGGTTGATCAAACAGAAAACATTCTAAAAGAAGATATAGTTATCTATCCTATTTTTAACAAGATCTTAAGTGAAATCTTGATAGTTGTTTTGAATCTATGACCTATACTAATAATAATAAATTTCTATGTAACTATTGAATTTATTGATAACGAAAAAAAATACTTTAACATTCTGATATTGTTTTTAACGAGTAAGGAAGGTAAAAATGAGTAATTATAATTAAAAACTGCAAAGAAAACATGGAAGTAGAAACTATCACAAAATTAGAAGTAAATAAAGAAAAGGAAAGTAAAGGAAAGTAATCCACTGGGACCAAAATGATAAACTACAATTGAATTAGAAAAACCACTTATGAACAAAATAAAGAGAAAATAGAATGTTTACTTTAAGAAATTAGAACACATTGAAAAAGACAGAAATAGAAATGAAAAACAGAAGAAGAGTTTATAAGTGTTATATTTTATTATAACAAATTAAAATTAACAAAAAGCTTTAGAAATATTAATAGAACCATTGGTGATTTTACAATTAATTATTAAAAATTTGAAAGATCTATGTTTATTGTATTTGTTAGTATGATTTTGAAATTTGAAAGGAGCTGAATTAAAAAAAGAAGATTTTAGATACTTCTGATATTATTGAAGACCAAAACAATTTAAGTGATACTTAATATGGCAGATGACTTATACAATAGTAATATCTAATATTGGTTAAAGAATTAAAAGGTCTTTTTGTCTTGATGATTCAAGATAATGTTCTAAATAAATCCATTGATCGATTTTATAAAGACAAAAGAGTCCCAACTACAAATAAATTATAATTCCATATTTAGCTCATCATTTAGATATTTTGTTAAAGAAGTTGGACTTACAAATAATTCTATTGAAAAAAAGGCTTGAGACATTTCTTTTGTAAGGTAACAGAGTACTTGAACAGAAAAATACGGTTCTATAATACACAAAGATAAATGGAAATGGAAATTTATATGAATTTAGTCAAAGAAGAAGAAATATTATTGTTGAAAAACTACAACTATTTGAAGGGAAATTAGAATAACATAAATTATAATTTTTTGTCAATTAACTTTTTCTTTTTTTTTTTTGATGTTAACGTTTGATGAAAAATCAAAATTAGTCGAAAATTTAGGAAAAAAGGAGTTCTTTGTTTTTAAGTCTGTTTTAAATATGGATTTGCACAAAAATTCTTTTGGTTTCAATAAATTTATTGAAATGAAAAAGAAAAATTATCTTAAAATATTCATGCCAACAATGAATGAGTTAAATGTTTGTTGTTGTAGTTCTTGTTGATGAGAGTTTTGCTAAAGGAGAATTTGGTTTAAGTTAACAAAATAGGTTTGTGTAGATCAGCTCCAACCTAGTGAGTTTCAGTGTTGGGGAGAAAAAGTTGGTGGGTCTATAAGAACATGGAAAAAAAGATATTTTGTATTAAAAGATAGAAGAATATGGTACTTTTCATCATGTAAAGACAAAGCAGCAAAGGGGTATATTGATGTTCCAATAGGAACAGAAGTTAATGACGTATCAGGAGCTAAAATTGCTAAACATAAACCATTTGCTATGACGATCAATTCAAAAGGACCAAAGTTTGTTTTTAATAACTTTATTCCTCACTTTTTTTGAGTAATAATATATATGATTTCTTAAGAAGATCTTGAAATGATAAGATTCTATCATATCTTCGAATTTATAGATGAGAATAACTCTAAAATTTGTCTTTTTGACACTAAAAAAATTTAACTCATCTTTAGGGGCTATAGACTTTTCGTTATTATTTGTGACAATGAAACAGATTTTAAAAAATTCTTTGAACATATAAAAGCTCAAACACAAGAACAAAAAGTTCCTGTTTCTCGTATTATTCCATCAAGTATTGTTCCATCCTCAATGATTCAAACTCCTTCTCTTCAACCAGGTACTCTTTTAAATATTGATGCAAGTATTGCTAATTATACAACAAGTGATGGAAGAAAAAATTTAGAACATGTAAAAAATTATTTTAATTGGGTAGACTCTGATGATAATTTAACTAAATACTGGAAATATTGGACAGATAATCTTCCAACAAAAACTTCTAAACCACCATTATTGAAAGGTGAAGCAGTTCATTATACAATCTCTGTTTCCTCAAAAGCTGATCATTTAAAATGGAGGGCATTTGGGAATCAGAGACCAATGATTAATCCAATGGCAAATTTTTTTATTGGTGTTGGAGTACAACAAGAAGAAATAGAACGTATAGATGAATTTGGGAGCCTTGTTAGACCTCAAATTATTGGTTCTATGATTGAAATTACTAAAAATTTTGGAATGAGTGAAAATTGGTTTTTTGCAGGAAAATTTGATATTTCATTAATTAGACAATTATCAGAAGATGGGAACTTTACTGACAGATTATTTGAGTGGTTAGCTGAATCTCATATTAATGAATTTTGTCAATTTGGACGAGAAATCAATGAAAATCCACCTGTTCAATCTACTTTTCACTTTTTAATTGAAGGAGAGATGTCATCCAGAGTCAATCAATTACTTCGTGCTACTCAAAAATTTGGATTTCCACCAATTCCAAATCCTATACTAAATATCTTTAAAGGATTGAATCAATATTATACTTATTTTGTTTTTGGTGTGACTCTTTGTAATCAAGGATTCGTTAGATTTTCCGCTATGATTGCTGACCCTACAGATGATGTTGTTTTATCCTTATTAGATGCAGTTCATGTTCCTCAAGAGATAAGAAAAATTCACATGTCTTTATTAAAAGACCATACAATTTCTGTTCGTTATGTGGAGTATTCATATCTTAAAAATGGATGTGGGCGTGGAACTTTTAATGAAGGTTCAGATGTCTATGTTCAATACTATTTTGGTTCAGATGCTCAATAAGTTTCATGTTCAATTGTAATTTTACTCTCATTTTAAATTCTCTCATTTTTTATTTATTTTTTAATGTTTTTATTGAGTTAATTTTCATATGAAAAAAAATATTTATATAAAAAAGTATTAAATAAAAAGTAATTAATTAAGTGTTAATAGAATCTGTGTCTATAAAAAAGTATTAAATATAAGAAATAATTTTTTATTCTTTTATAAGAGAATGTGAAGGTTTCATTGAAGGTTATTAGAAAATAAAAAAATAATAAAAATTTTAAAGACAAAAATGAAACAAAAAATGGAGTTTTCTTCTTTCTTCGAAAGAATGAAAAAAAGGAAAAAGAAAAGAGAAAGTGAAATAAATTGGAAAAAATCGGGAAATTAAGTATTGAATAAAGAATAAAAAAAGGGTTAAAGGAAGAAAGGAAAATTGATAGAAACTTAAAAGAAACTTAAAAGAAACAGAAACAAAAGATGGCTGAACAACAAGAACCAATTATTGATTGTAGCGCTGCATTAGAAGGAAGATTAAATTATTTTAATGAACTTGAGAAAAAATATAAAGAAGAAGAATTAAAGAAATCTAAAGAAATTACAATCAAATATAAGGATATGACATTCCAAGGTAAATCATTTGTTACATCACCACAAGAATTTATTAAAGACCTCGTTGAAAAAGGAGAAATTACAAAAGAAAATCCAGTTTTTGTTGCCAAAGTTAATGGTAAATTATGGGATCTTACTAGACCATTTGAAGAAGACTCTACTGTTGAATATCTTGGTTTTGATAATCAAGAAGCTCATGATGTTTTTTGGCATTCATCTGCTCATCTTCTTGGAGAAGCTATGGAAACACAATATAAATGTTATCTTCATACAGGACCAGCAACTGCCATTGACTTCTTTTATGATTGTAAAATGAATGGAGCTATTTCTGCTACTGATTTTAAAAAGTTACAAAGCCTGATTGAAGGATATGTTAGAGAACATCAAGTCTTTACTAGAATTGAAATTACTAAAGAAGAGGCTTTAAAAATGTTTGCTTATAACCCATATAAGGTTAAAATTATTGAAAAGTTACCAGAAGGATCCACTATTACTGCTTATAAAAATGGTTCTTTTGTTGATCTTTGTAGAGGACCACATTTAGCTAATGCTGCTAGTATTAAAGCTATTAAAATTTTATCTTCAGGTTCAGTTCATTTGGATGGAACTGCAACTGGAGATTTATTACAAAGAGTTCATGCTGTTTCATTCCCAACAAAGGATTTATTAAAAGAGTATATTAAAAGAGCAGAAGAAGCAGACAAACGAGATCATAGATTAATTGGAAGACAACAAGACCTTTTCTTCTTCCATGTTCTTTCACCAGGAAGTTGTTTCTGGTTACCACATGGAACAAGAATTTATAATAAATTAGTTCAATTAATAAGATCTGAATACAGAGTTCTTGGATATCAAGAAGTTATTACCCCAAATATTTTCCTTTCTACTTTATGGGAAACTTCTGGACATTGGCAACATTATAAAGATGATATGTTCTCTTTTGAATGTGAAAAACAAACTTTTGCTCTTAAACCAATGAATTGTCCAGGACATTGTGTTATGTTTGCTAGCAAAAAGAGATCATATAGAGAGCTTCCATTAAGATATGCTGAATTTGGTGTATTACATAGAAACGAATTAACAGGAGCACTTCATGGACTTACAAGAGTAAGAAGATTTGTTCAAGATGATTCACATATTTTCTGTACAATGGATCAAATTGAATCAGAAGTTACTGGAGTTTTAAATTTAATGAAAAAAATATATAAAATATTTGGATTTAAGACTGAAATTGCTTTAAGTACAAGAAATGAAAAGAAATTTATGGGAGAAATTGAAACATGGAATAAAGCAGAAGCAATGTTAACTCAAGTACTTAATGATTCTCATTTACCATTTGTTATTAATCCAGGAGATGGAGCATTTTATGGACCAAAGATTGATATTAGAATTGAAGATGCACTTGGAAGAAAACATCAAGTAGCAACTGTTCAATTAGACTTCCAATTACCATTAAGATTTAAATTAGACTATATGAGTGAAGATCCAAATCAACCATTAAAAACACCAGTTATGGTTCACAGAGCAGTTTTAGGATCAATTGAAAGATTTACTGCTATTTTAACAGAACATCTTGCAGGTAAATGGCCATTCTGGTTATCACCAAGACAAGTTATGGTATGTACAGTTTCAGAGAAGTATAATGAGTATGGAGCTAAAATTACTAAAGAATTAAATGATGCAGGATTTTATGCAGATCTTGATGATAGTGATAATAAATTACCAAAGAAAATTAGAAATGCTCAAGTTGCACAATATAACTTTATATTAGTTATTGGAGAAGAAGAATTAGTTTCTAATTCAGTTAATGTTAGAACTAGAAAAAGTAAAGTTGAAGGAAAAGTAGAATTTAGTGAATTCATTAAACATTTAAAACAACTTGAAGCTGACAAACAATAAGAAAAAAAATTAATGAGAATTCAATTTTTTTTGAAAAAACTACATTTGTTAGAAATGACTTTTGTTTTAAATGAACTAATTAAATTTATTCAAAGATATTTAACTATTTAAATGTCAAATAAAAGAAACGTTGATCAATTTTTAATATCACTAAACAACCTGTCTAAATCTTTAGAACTGAGTCATTTCAATTTTGAAATTGACTTATTTAATGAATCGTTTACAGAAATTACTAAAATTAATGAAAAAATTAACCATATTAAAACAATAGAAGAAAAAGATAAAGCCATTCTTGATACTCATTTATTAGTTGCAAGTACTTTTGGATCATTTGTAAAACAATTCAAAGAAATAATTGCTAAAGACAAATCAAATTTACAAAAAGTTATGACTGTCGTAAAAGGGAAAAAGGTATTAGAAAGAAGTGAATATTACAATCAAGGAAGAAAGTCATTTGAAAGAGTAAGGTTTTTATTAAAACAATTATCATTTCTTGAAATAACTAAAAATTTTATTGTTGATAAAATTAGTTCTTATTCCCCTAAACCTATCGATAAAAATGTTTCTATAGAAAAACAAAAAGAGCTTCGTTCTATGATTTATTTGTTATTTAGTGTTGCAAATGAATTAATGAAGTTTAACGAAAACAATTTCAAAATCGTTGGAAAACATGTTGATTTTACTGTTATTTGTAATAAAGAAGTACTAAAAAAATATATTAAAGAAAAAAGGTTAGTTACAAATGAATTTATTTTAAATGAAACAGTGTCACAGAAATTAGAAAAAGAAAGTATAAAAGAAGAAATCTCTAATTTGTCTAGAATAAATGGATGTGGGTTTCTTGGATATTCTTTTGATTCCATTGTTAATGCATTTGAACAAGAAATAAGGAATACATTACCTTATGGTTTTAGTTTTTCATTTAATAAAGAAAATAATAAAGAAGAGTATCGGGCAGAATTAGAAGCAAGTCAACTTGTTAATGGGACAATACCACCTATAGAACTAACACAATTCAATAATTTTAAACAATTTAAAAAATCGTTTGTGCTTCAAAAAGTTAATAGTCTTACATTCCAATATGATGGTAAAGGCGAAGGATCTTCATTATTTGGACTAAAACCATTTGATATTGAAATTACTATCACTGTTATTCAAAAAGAATTTAAGTTAATTGGAATCTTATCTCATAATTTTTTAGAGAGAAGTACCCCATACGAAATAAATACTATTGGCATAAGTGGTTTATCAGTACTTCCAAAAAAGATTAAGTCTGATCATGTAATTCCTTTAAATTCATGCAATAGTAACATTGATTCTGTTATGAGAATACAACCTGAGATGGACATTCGATTAATTGCTTTTAAGGAATTTTTATCTTATGAAAGAATTGGGGACACTTTGTATTATTCACTGACAATGCCATCAAAGTTTCAAGGAAGGAATATTACTCTTATCATAGAAGATTATCTGGGTGAAAAAAGTGAATTAGAATTAAAATTGGAAGATCGTATGGTTTATGTGTATGATGGATTGAAATTTTATTTCGAGGATAATGGTTGGGCCAAAAAATTTGTGATTTCCGTTAGTTTGTTTGATATAGATGCTGGTCCTAATAACTAATTTTGTATATGAATAAAGTACTGAGTTAGTAAAGGTTATTTAACAAAATTACTGTTACTCTCTTTAGTTCTTCCATGATGAGTATTGGAATGATATGAAACTATTTTTATTAATAAGTATATGGACTTATTCTTTTTTGTATTTTGTTCTTTGATATTAAAATACTTGAAATAAATTATATAATACATAAAATTAAAAATACAAAAGAGACCACAGCAACAAAATGTAAAATATATTATCAATAAGCAAATTAAGTGATAGAATGGTGAATGAAAATAAGTATATCTATTACCAGAATACCCACTTTTATCATATAAATTGTTAACTTAATAATTCTTTTGATAACCATCATAAGAATAACACTATAATGGCACTAATAATTTTGTTTATCAATTTAACTAGTTTTATCATATGGATGTGTAAAAATAATTTTAATAAACAAAGAGAGATAAATATCATAGCAAAACACAAAGAAAGAATATGAAAACAATATCAAAATAAACAGAAAATTCATGAAAAATGTCAAATTAATAGGATTATAAACTTGATTGAATACAATATTAAGAATATGTGAATAATATATGTATATTAATTAAATACCATAACAGCTATTTTCAATATTTAATATATTTCATTACCATAAATATCATTATTTAAGTGTATTGCTTCATTTATTTATATCTTTTTTAATACATTATTAATATCATTTCTATTGTCATTCTTTCTTATGTTTATTTATATTTTGTTATTTTAGGAGTAAATTTATTTTCTATTTTAAATTTTTCATATATTCTAAACCTATAATATCTGTTTTATTTTCTTACTTGTTAATACTTGATTTTCTTATTTAAATAGTTTCAATAAGTAATAATTGTCATTTATACTTGTAATTAAATTATATTATTCTTTGTTTATTCAGTTATTTAATGCAAAGTGTTAAATAATGTTATTTGATGATTATAAATATAAGAATTCTTACAAATGAGAATAGAGCTAAAATATATCATTAACTAGTTTCCTTTGGATAACATCTCTGTATTTAATTATCTCCTCAATTTTTTTTATTACCTTATTATTTTGTCTTTAAAAATTTAGTCACTTTTATAATTTAATCATTAAATTTTAACGATGGGTTTGATATATCACAGTATATCTAATTTTTACTATTTTAAAAGACTTCAAATCATTTTATTTTATAAAAATACTATTTTATTGTACATTATAATTTACTATAACATGTTTGATTATTGATAAGTAATACTATCTAACAGTGATAGTTAAATAATATCCTATTTTACTTTTACTATCGATAGACATTTTTAATAACATTTAATAATATAACTTTTCTACATAATTTGGATTTATTTCTTCATTTATTTTATTATGAATATGGTTTTTCATTTAAATATTTCACTTCATGTTCTATTTTCATATTCTATTTGTATAATTATTTTTTATCTTTTATTCTTAGTTTCAACTGTTTTATCTGTTTGATATCATTTTATTAATCTTTTTGAATGTTTCTAAATTTTACAATTTTTTCCTCCATTTAATGAAAATCAAATACTAAAACATTGAAATGTTGATATTCAATTATTAATTTCAATACTTTCTAACATTTTTTCTACTTCTTTTATCGTTATTCTTTCTTTTGGTTCTTGTTTCCATGTTTTTTCAATAATTTCTTTAATATCTTCTTTAACTTCTTGTATTATTGTTGGTCGTTTACCTGTTGATATGAATTCGGCTATTTTCCATGGAAATTTAAATTCTGTTTTAGGAAATGGTTCTTTCCATGTAATGATTTGTAACATTGTTATTGAATATGAATATATATCTGATTCCATTTTGTAATGTTCTCGATTAAGTACTTCTGGTGCCATGTAAATAGGTGATCCTATCCCTTTTGTAAATGTCATATTTGTCATCATCATATTAATGTTTCTTGAACTTCCAAAATCTGTTAATTTACAATTAACTCCAATATTATCATCAAGTGTTATAACAAGAAAATTATCTGGTTTAATATCTCGATGTAGTATTCCATTTGAATGAAGATATGAAATTCCTTTTGCTCCATCTATCATGAATTTAATTCTTATTTTATTTGGTATTTCAGTGTTTGTTCTTTTATTAATTAAATCTTGTATTGATCCATATTTTGCATATTCTGTTATCATACATATTTTATTAGGAATAAATACTGCTCCATAAAAATGAATAATATATTCACTTCTAAATTTATCTAACATCATTACTTCTTTCTCAAATTCTTTCATTTTATCTTCATCTTTATCAATTTGTTTCATTTTTTTAATTGCTACTTGATTTCCTCTAAATTCTCCTATATATACGATTCCAAATGATCCTTCTCCTATTTTATGTTCTTCTTTTATTTCATCTGGATCAAGTCGTGTTGATATTTGTGTTTCTCCTTTAATTGAAATACTTTTAATTATTTCTTCTTGTGTTTTATTAAGTGTTTTACTTATTATCATCATTTGTTCTTTAATTTTAGTAGTACATTTGATTATAATGAATATTTCAAATTCACATGCATATCCTCCTTCAATTGTAATGATATTTGGGTTTGTTCTAATTGAATATTTTTCATTTTCTTCTTTATTACTTATTTGTATTTTCTTTTTTTCTTTCTTTTCATTTCCAATACATATTAATTCTCTGATTTCTTTATTTACTTCAATTTTTTCTCCTTCTCCTATTTCTATTTCTTTTTTATTTGTTATTATTCCATCTCCAAGTGATATGAATTTGATATTTGATTGTGAAATTTTAAATATTGTTGTTGTTTTCTCTTGTTCTTTCTTTTCTTTGCGTTTTATAATGTAATTAATCATTATAATTATAATTATAATTATTATAATGATGATAATAAGTATAATGATGATAATTATCATTATCATCCACCATACTATTTCTTTATTACATTTTGTTCCTTCTTCATTGATTCCATACC